TCTGTATGTGCTGTTGCTGCATGGATTGCCTTAAACTTCCCTGACTGAGAGAAAAGAACTCCAAGCTGGTTCACTCAATCCAATGCGTCTCTGATCAGAACTGAGGCTAAGCAAGCTTTCTGTGCAATTAAATTAGTGCAGTGTGCTCCACAATGAACAAAAAGAGCCAGTGGCTGCTCTTGCTTTATCAGTGCCTGTGCACCTGCATGCTTCCCAGACATATTGGCTGCTCCATCATAAATTTGACCTCGTAAACCATTCATTGGTAAGTTTAATCTGAGCAGCACATCTTTAACAACAGCAGCAAGGCTTTTTCCTGTTGTTTCAGAAACTGAGTACAAGCCAATAAACTCTTCATGGGGCTTCATGTCACTGTCAATGTATCGCAGACAAATGCTTTCTTGTTCTTTCCCAGAAATGTCCTGTGTTCCATCCATAATAATTGCAAACTCAAAAATTGGTAGGTTTCTGATTGTATCTGCTATTTCACTGACAATACTATTGCTCATAGAACACAAGATTTCATTCTGTATCTGTGGACTTAGGTATTCTTTCTGAGACCTCAGCAACCACTTAGCCAAAAGGGCATCATCTTCTGCCAGATTTTTCAACAGTTGATACAAATTGCTGTCATCATCGTCATGCCCTCTCAAAGCTTGTCCCTGGCGTGCCAAATATTTTATGGAGCTCACAATTTTCTCCAGACAGTGCCTATTGTCACCTTGCTGAGTTGCCAAAGCACTGGATAATTGGGCATTTATAGGATGACTTTCTTGTGCAGTCACAGAAACAGCATGATGATGTGAGTGACTATTTTCATGTGCTTTAAATTTTTCGAATGCTTTTTTCCAATTTTTAAATCCAGAAGTGATAAAGGCGGGTTCGGATTTTGCACCAAATGGTGTGAGTTTGTCCTGGTAAATTGCCATGCAATAAAAACACAAAATGCCCTTTTTCACTGCATCATAATGTAGCCAGGGAAATTCCTTGTACCACTTTCCTTGGAAATGTAAAGTTCTGTTGGCTAGAGCTTGAGGGTCTATGAATTTTGGATGTGGCTGATTTGGTTCTGTTCTCTGTCCACTGACTTCAGAGTCTCTCAGCTGTGTGTCCCTAGTCTGAACTCCCTAGAAGGAAAAGTTACAATGTCACTCAATGCCCCTGAACTACACTTACTACAAGCAAAAGATTAAAATTTTCAACTTTTTTTGTGGACTCTCATGAAGTATCTACTGGTATGAGTTACTCTGTCTTACCTGTTGCTCCACTCCTGTCTCTCCCTCACTCTGACTTCCTGCCTCTAGCCCGGTTGCACTATCCTCTCCTTTTCCTGTCTCCTTTGTGCTGTCCCTGCATTGTTGCTCCTAAACATATGAGATGGTTTCAGAAATGAGGTACAGCTCTTGAGCCTAATATGGCCAATTTTAAATCAAACAAAACATTTTATTTGTCACATTACAGACTTTACGCGCAGAGTTAATCGCAGAGGCAAATAAAATCAATCGATTAAATCCTTTCAGAGTATTATCTCATGGACTCTGAACTAAAGTCTTTCTGACAGGGAGCTGACAGTGTGTTGAAGAACTATGGACAGGGCGCTTTGAAGCATCTGGTTCAAAAACGCATTCTAAACCTTTGGTAGAAATCCATCTATCCTTCCATTTTCTGTACACCCTTGTCCCTTAGTGGGGTCGGGAGGTGCTGGTGCGGGGTAAACCCTAGACAGGTCGCCAGTCTGTCCAGACCTTTGGTAGAAATGGCGCCTTTAATTCCAGTTTGCAGTACAGAACAGAGAAAACTACAGAGTTGTCAATGTTGTGTTAATCTATTTATAGTCTAAAAAGAGGAGCCAGCAGTTTATTTGAGGAAATAAAGGTGCAGAAGTTAATTAGTTGGTTAGCCGCTGCTAAGAATTAAAATTAACTCTCCCTGTGGTTTTAACTAACGATCAGGAGCGCGGCAGGTATAATATCTGTCCATTTCGGCTAAGCAAAACCACGCAAAAAATAAAAAATCCTCGTAAAACGCACGCCCAGACCGGGCTAATTTCAACACAAGGGCAACACAGGTGTTGCCCTTGTGTTGTGTGACTGTTACTCACACTGACGTTACTCTTTTTTAAAAAAGCTGAGTAAGTCCTGCTGCTGTTTCAGCCTTTTAGTTGGTGGTGGCATTGTACTGAAATGAGATATATATATATATAAAAAAAAAAAAGACATTTTGGCTAGCGTAGCAAACGTCTAGAGGAAGTTAGCAGTTAAATATTGGATGAGAGATCATCCCAAGACTAAGATGACTAAACCAAAAAGATTCAGTTTCTATATATGAAAGTGAACTGACAACAAGACGTTATAAATAAGCAATATTCATAGCAGCATTCCCGACAGACCATTTTACCTCATTCACAAGTTTCTGACTTCTGTGTCGCTGTTTCCCTCCCTTCTGAGTGCTCACTCAGCAGTTCAGAGAGGGGAGGGGGAGTACAGTGACGTAACGCGATGCTGCGCCTTCAAAATAAAAGCACGCTAGTTAAAAAAATTTCAAAATCCAATATTTTGCGGTACAGTTTTTTGGGGGGGACATATCCACCTGGCTTCAATATTGGGGGGGACATGTCCCCCCCGTCCCCCCCGCTTCCTATGCCGATGCATACAACAGCCACTGAAAATGTTTGAAAATGCTTATTTCTGCCATCAGACGTCGTTGTTTTGTTCAGATCTCATTTTATCATGAATTTGATTCCTGTCCATCTACCCATGAAGTTTTAACTTGACTTGATTTCACGTTGGGTTGGTTTGCTTCTCTCTCTCCTCATGTGATGCAATAAAGGATCTCAAGGTTGAGATGTTCTCATATTCAGGACACAAGTCCAGCTATAAAAGGGGATCAAAAGTTGAGAATGAAAAAGGTTGTTCAATAAAATACATAATACTACATAATAATACTGTTTACGCTGTCATCAAAGGCGTTACATTAGATCCTATCGTGCTATTTTAAAGTTTTTATCTCGCATGGCATTTGGACTTCTCTCGTTCCTTAAATATGTTTCATCTCTCGTGAAAAAGGTGTCTTCATTTCTAAACATGGTTTGATGCAACAGACTTATAATTTGAGGGTCAGGAAATGATGCCAAAAGATGCGTAAAGCTAACGAGACAGGGAGGACAGAATGGCTTTTTTTCCTTTGTTGCTCTGAATATTTATGAGCCTGCTGCTTCCAACCATCTTCAGGACTGAAGAAACAAAAGAAAAAGTCCAGTTGCCTTCTACCTGAGCACTTATGATGATCATCGCTCAATGACTGAGAGTCTTTTTATATTAGACATAAATTGGTTTTTATTTAATCAGATGGGATCTTACCTCTATGTTCTCCACATGTTCCTTCGATTCAGTTTTTACATCAGTTGGTTTCTTCTTCCTGAGTCAAGCAAATCCAGTATTTCAACAACAAACGGGCAAAAGTATATACTTGGAGGCCAGAACATACAAGTTTTCGCTGATATTACCTCGTCCAAAGAGAAACAACAAACAGAAGAGTCAGCAGCAGCAGTGCGGCTGCAGCCAACTTTGTGATGTTCATCATCTTGAATGTCATGTTTCTGTTCCCTAAAAAATTAGACAAAGCAATATTTTAATGGAAAATAGGAATATAAACACAAAATGTAAACAGAAACGGACCATCAGCATAGATAACAGAAATTAATGCCTTTGCTGACTTACTTGCAGCAACAGTAAGATGTATGGCAGATTTGTGACTTCCTCTGCTGTTGTGAGCTTCGCAGAAGTAAAGTCCACTGTGCTGTCGGCCAATATTTGTGATGGTGAGATTTTGTCCAGAACTTTGAGGCATTTTCTCTTTTTCTTTGAACCAGGTGTAATTAGCTGCTGGGTTTGAATCACTGCTGCAGCTCAGCGTCAGTGAAATGCCCTCCATGATTTCAGACGCACTCAACGAGATTCGGGGAAGGTTTGGAGCATCTGGATAAAAAGAGAATATATGCAGTCATAAGGATGTTCTTAGAAACTAGAGACATTTGTGGCACGTAAATATGGCGCCTGGAGGAATCAAAGTCAAATAATATCTTTGTTGTTACTCAGGTGAAACCTTGGCATCAACTAATTGCCAGCAAATGTAACAAAACCAGAGAAATATAACTATAAAGATTAGTTCCTTCTTCTTGAGGTGGATTTTTTTTTTACTTTTGAAACTCAGAAATGTCCATATTCTTTTCTAGAAATTTCTGAGATTAATCTAAAAAATGTTTTTTTTTTCTTGTAAATATTTGACTTTTCAAAAATAATTTTTGAAAACTTTTGACATTAATCTCAACATTTCTACATTTTTGTTTTTTTTCCTAGCAACTTTTTGACTCTGCCAGCTCTGAAATATTCTTATTTTTTTCTAGAAATTTTCTGAGATTAACTTCAAAATAAATTTCTCTGTTTTTTGATCAAAATGTACTGCTCCTTTTTTTCTACCTCCAATGGGCCTAGTATGCCATCGTGCAGTCTTGGTCTCAATGCTTTGGCAAGAACTGTTTTCTGTTTGTTTAATTAAGGCATTTTAAAATACTTAGAAATTTTAGCAAAAGTGTGCATGAGAATTTTTTGCCATCTTTTTGAGATAGCAAGAAGCTTCATGCATAAAACACTTTCTTACATTCCACGTCGATTAAGATGCTGCCCGACGTCATCCTTTTGAGAACGTTCTCGGCTGCGCAGAAATATTTTCCAGAATCAGACGACTGAACAGACCTGAAAACTAGTTTTGGGCCTTTGCTGAGAGGATTGGCTTCATGCTCCTTGTACCAGGTGTAAGTAGCTGCTGGATTAGCATCAGCGCTACAAGCCAAAGTCAATGAGTCTCCCTCCACTACTTCACCTGAAAAACTACGTGAAACAATGGGGAAGCTTGGTGGATCTGAAAGGGAGCGAGAAAAACTATCATTTTAGCGTTTGGATAACCTCTGAGTCAATCTTTTCTCTTTTTTTTTAGCTTAAGCTAGAGTACGAGTGTTTGGCAACACTGGTAATAGTGTCCAATTGTGAAACAACCTAACTGCTCCTGAAAAATATGCTTATTTATTGCTTATGTTCCACAACTTTATACTTTTAGCACGACTACTTGATGGACGTTTATAAATGTTTTTTTAAAGTACGGTCTGATGAGAGGTGTGATCATAACTTTTTACTTGCAAGCTGTGAAAGCTAATTTTCCGGACTTTAAGTTGGTCACTTTGAGCTTTATTTTTCAGTCACTTACATTTCACATCAATAAACATGCCTTCAGATGTCACTTGGTTCAGCATATTCTCTGATGTGCAGTAGTACTCTCCAGAGTCAGACGACTGGATAGACTCAAAGACGAGTTGCGAGTCGTTGCTTAGAGGCTCAGGATTGTTCTTCTTGAACCAGATGTACTCAGCTGTTGGATTAGCATCACTGGAACAAATCAGGTTCACTGAGGTTCCCCTCACTACTTCACCAGAGGGTCTTAATGCCACAGAAGGAAGCCTTGGTGCGTCTGGAAGGAAAAGCATGAAGACTTTCAAAACTTAAGGAGATTTCTGATAATGGTTTTTGGGCAAAACTAAACAATCATTTGCTCATAATTGACTATTGGAGCAGTTGTACAGAAGGGCTGCACCCTGGTCACAAAACTGATGTGTTGATAACTTGGAGCATTTTGGGAGCCAAATTGTAATGTCTTTTTGTCTTGTTAACGATCCTTTCTAAGCTTATTATATATAACTCCCTCCAGGATGAAAAACGGACACGAGGCGTTCTTGATGACATTTAATAATTAGACACCTGTGTCTAACGATGCCGTCCAAAAAAAAAAAGCACATAAAATAAATTTGTATTCATTAAGACAGACAGATAGAGAACAGACAAATAATATTAAATAGCAAAACATTCACAATATGTTTGACCTTCAAAAAAAAAAATAATAATAGACGCACTCCGTTACCTTTAAACTCACGTGGCTAACAGAAACTCGACAAATTCATTCTACTTCCACATAAACACGTAAAATACAAATTATTTACCTCACTGACCGCTTTATCCTGGAGAGATTAAGAAAAGAACCTCTCGGCCGTACGTCTTCTTTCAACTTTGCTGCTAGAAACGCTTCTAGAAACTTCTCTAGCGACCAGAAAAAGAAAACACACTGCCCTCTACTGAGCGCGGCGTGCAACTGAAAACATAGATCCAAACCAAACACTGGTTCCACTCTGGAAACACCCTGCATTACTTCAACTTATTTACTCTAACTCAAAACCACCAAATCATCTCAAACTGCACAACTGCCACCGATGGCAGCCAAACTTACAGTTTTTGACAATCTTTGGAGATTTTTCTATAAAATCCTCCTTGATACTACTTGCTTTCATAATTTGTTGGTGAACTGAAGTTCTGTTTTACAGCGTTTTCCACTGCTGCCTCCAGAAACAACAAAAACATTTGCAAGTGTCAGCTGAATCGCTTTAGGTGAACTAAAGGACATAGGAAGTGGGGCGGCAGGTGTCAAAACAGAAATGCATGTAGTTAGTTTAGCATAGTCGCTCAAATATACTTCTACTTGAACAGTGTTTTCACACTTGAAAAAAGGTGTGAAAACATTGGTCCTCAGTCAACTTGGTTCGATTGGGGACTAAAATTGCAAGGTTTGTTATATCTTCAGCTGCTGTGGCTCACTTTCATGCTGCACTACGTCCATCCATTTTCTGTACAACCTTGTCCCTTAATGGCGTTGGGAGGGTTGTCGATGCCTCTCCAGCTAATGTTTCGGGCGAGAGGCAGGGCACGCCATGGACAGGTCGCCAGTCTGTCACAGGGCAACACAGAGACAGACAGGACAAACAACCATACACACACACTCACACCTAGGGACAATTTAGAGAAACCAATTAACCTGACAGTCATGATTTTGGACTGTGGGAGAAAGCCGGAGTACCCGGAGAGAACCCGCGCATGCACAGGGAGAACATGCAAACTCCATGCAGAAAGACCCTGGGCCAGAACCTTCTTGTTGCACGGCAACAGTGCTATCAACTGCGCCACTGTGCAGCCTGCTGCACTACGTCAAATGATTAAAACTGATTGAACAACCTGTTCACCTCCTCGCGCCAAGAACTATGGAAGGGACTGTCACGAAAACCTCCAAAGATGACCAGTGCAACTTCCTTCTTCATAAACTGCAACCAAAAATGGAGTTGTGTCCAATTTTAGAGGTTGTAGGACTTCTCTTTAGTCTGTGGTATTAAAAAAAAACAAAAACACGAGCCATTTCTCCCTGTAGTGTAATCATTTTGGCTCTATTGACCGGGAATGCTTTGGGCTATAATTTGCTTCCTGCTTTCGGAGTGTTCTGCTGTCCACTTGCATCCACATATGAACCGCAACAGAGCTCACTTCAACTTGAACTGAGCCCTAGGACTTTAGGTGGACCAAAGTTCACTTTTTGGGTCCCCATTAGAGTTCGATTGCATATTCACACCTCCCCGAATAAACTGGACTGGTGTGAATGCACCCTAAGTCAACACTCTAAGAGTAAATTGAGACAACCTCCACAAGTCCCCCAAAATAATTTACTTACTTACATTTTACGTCAATAAAGACGACTTTAGATGCCTTTATTCTCAGGACGTTCTGAGCTTTACAATAATATTCTCCAGAGTCAGAGGATTGGATAGACTTGAAGACGAGTTGTGAGCCTTTGCTGATAGGACCAGAAGTGTCCTTCTTGTACCAGGTGTATGTAGCTGCTGGATTAGCATCACTAGAACAAGTTAGATTTATTGGGTCGCCCTCCACAATGTGACCAGAGGAACTCATCGACACAGAGGGAAGATTCGGCATGTCTGCAATAGAAAACACAAACTACTATAGTGCTTTGTAATGCCAAACATATCATTCCTGGTACTAGTTTTTACTGAACAACAAAATTTGAATTTTCTCTTGTATTGAGTCAATAGAGTTGTTTTATGACATGCTTTCTTCTAACTTAACAACACATTACATCGCCAACATGAATCTTCAAAGCAATGTGTAAAACTCAACTGACACACTGACGGAGACGGGAAATTCCTGTGTCCTGCTGCAGCGCAAGAAATGCGGTCGGCGTCAGAAAACGTGTATGAAAAAGACGAGGAGGTCTGCGTCAAAACGTCCTGCCCGTTCTTGACCCAGATGTAAGGATGTAGGTCAGACAGACATTTGCTTTTGCACGTCATCTCTGCCAGAGTACCGCTCTGTTTGTGCTCCCATTTGATCACTTGCAGCTCGACGGCTGAATTCAAGAGAACACAACAGAAACTAAAACCATGTGATCATTCAACACACTAAAATAAACAAAGTAAAATTAAAACAGGAAATATTACCAGAGACTGACAAAGTGACCCCTGGCGAACCGGTGTATTTTCCATTTTGGTGATTTGTTATGAACCTGAACTTGTAGACAGCAGAGTCACTCTCTCTCACGTCCCTGATAGCCACGGTGCAGCCATGTTTATACTTGATGCGACCTGCGTAATCTTGGTCATCTTTCAGATCCACAGGAGCATAATTATCCCCTTTGGTGTACCATATTAGTTTTCTAACTTCTATAACTGTATCCCCCACTGTGTCTGGATGTGTGTAGTTGCATTTCAAATCCACCGTTGAGCCTTTTATGGTGCAGATCTGTGAGGAAGAGTAGGTCACGCTCCAGCCATTCTGACCCCTGACCCCTGCAACGCATCAGAAACAAAACAATCACAATGAGATCAACAAACAGGACAAAAATGTATAACCCAGGAAGCATATTGATGAATAGATTTGGTTTTATTTTTCCTTTTGCTGATATGAGTCACTTGTGTCTGTGTTTTAATATTAGTGCTTGGATCCAAGTGGATGGAAATACTTTCACAAGAGTGATCTGTTTTAGTGTTTTAGACGCTTGGTGCTCCCTCACATAGTGCTGCATCGGGCACAGACACCTTAAGAGGTCATCCAGATCCAGATCTGGGCAGATATTGTCTTATGAAACCTGGCGTTCATTAAAACCTTCCACTGTCCCATCAAAAAAAGGTAAAAAGGAAATCCTCTGTTTTGTCATAAAAAATGCTAAAAAGTAATTTGTACAATTTTTGAAGTACCTTACTGCAGATTCGTCTGCAATTTATTCATTTTTACCACATATACCACATATGTACCATATAAGTATGAACTTATATTGACCCCCGTGCCTCTTATCCCTAACGCATTATTCAATAATTTCATTCACGTTAATAATTCACATCTGATACTATTCACATCTCTAATATTTAAGAACATTATGAATGGATGCAAGACACTTTTTCATGTTTCAACATTTGAATTAACAATAAAAACCAGTAACTAAAATCACAGTGTTCATGTTTCCAAAGATTTCTGAGGTTGTGCAATAAAAAAAACAAACAAACAAAACAAAACAAAAAAAAACAAGGCATTTTGCAGACAACTACACGTCTTCAAGAGAATTTTTTTCACAAAAGAAAAACAACAACAACAAAAAAACATGAGTACTTCTGCATAAGCAAACCGACTCCAACCAAGCCATTTCTGTCAGTAGCCTGCTATACATGACTCCATGATGTTCTCCACATCCCCCTATAGCTCTGCTTTATTTAATGGACTGATAAAGGAGTAAAACACACACATTACCTGATACGGAGAGAAATGCGACAAGTAACTCGGTCACTGCAGTCCAATGCATGGCTTTTCCTTCCATCTATTTTTATGATGTCTTCACGTCTTCATGAAGTGATAAATGATGATCATAAATGATTCTACAGCACTAATGGCCGCTGCCAGTGAAGTCACATTTCCTCTGTGGCCTGTGGTTTGTACAGAGCAACTAAAATAACCCACTTAGTTTCACACCGTTTGAATTCTAACAAAGAAAATAACAAGGTTGCACATCTGCTGGTGCCTGTAGTTCTGAAATTAAT